GTTTGCCACAAAATAGAAAAAAGGTGGTGCAAACCAAGCCAAAGTCAAGTACCGGGGCCAACACAGAGATGGGGAGCAGGCAGCTTGGGGCTCCCTGCTCTCCCATCTCTGTGCACTGTCAAGCCCCCGTGCTGAGGCACCCTGCGCCCCAGTAAGCTCAGGCGCAGGGTTCCTCAAAATGGGGGAGCAGGCAGCCCTGGGCTGGTTGCTCCCCTTTGTGCATGCCTCAGTGCCGAGGCACCGCAGTGGAGGTCCCGCGCTGAGACATGTGGAGTTCCCTGTGCTGAGAAACGCTGAGACAGGGGAGCAGCCAGATGGGGACCGGCTGCACGGGGTGCACGGGGTGCAGGTGCCTCAGTGCAAGGGTTCACAGTGCATGGAGAGGGAGAAGCAGGCAGCACTGGGCTGCCTGCTTCCCTTGTTACCACGTGCCACTGACTGGGTGGCTGGGGCACAGGGTGCCTCAGTGCAGGCTAGGGATAGCCCCTGCCGAGGCACCCTGTGCCCCCACCAGCCCCTCCTCCCACCTTGCAGTAGGTGGAACAGTGGGACAATGTGTCCTACTGCAAAGCACCCAGGCAGGGGCATGCACTGGGGCACAAATAGTGGCACAGATTTGTGCCGCTACATTTTGTGTTGCTAAAGAGGCAAACTGCTTCTCGTGTGGACCCTGCCTGAGATTTTACTGCAGAGCTAATTAGGCTGCTGCATGGTAAGCATCTGGCGTAGATGCTCCCACTGGATCAAATGATGATCGTTGAGTATGATGTTAACATGGTGTACCGTATTGGTGATGTTCTCCTGACGGTTGTTTTGTGGCTGGTAAAGTTGGTCCTGTAGTAATTGGTTCCATTTTTTTTCTTTTTGCGTTGGATGCATGCTGTAATAAATCCTTTGTAGTCTTGTCCTGGAGTTCCCCTGCTGACCAGAGGCGTCCAGCTGTGGGAATTGCCTGCATGGGGAGCTGGGGTGAGCCAGGGACACCACTGGCTGCAGCAGGTAGTTCCCATCTTCCTATGCCTCCTCCCTCCTCACTGCCTCCCCACCTCCCCAGTGTCCCCCTTGGCCTGTGGAGTGAAAAAAATCTTACTGTGCTGTAAAGTACAAGTGGAGTCTAAAACCCCAAAGCACCCCAGGCAGACCCAGTGCTGTCTTTGAATTTGGGACTGTATTTTTTCAGAGATCACTTTGTTTTTTTACAGTTTATTAGCTTGGATTTTGTTTTCCACCTCAGGTAGAAGACTAAATTCTTACTTCCTTAAGAGCCCAAGGGATAGTTCTCCACATCCTCTGAGAAGTTATTGTATAGCCAGAACTGAACAGGTCATTGCATTGCATGGAGAAAGAACTTAAACAAAGACAGATGCTATGAGCAGGATTTGAACCTGCGTGAGGGAAACCTCATTGGATTTCAAGTCCAACACCTTAACCTCTCAGCCATCACACCTGGGGTTTGTAATATGGGACCCTAACCCATGGAAAAGAGAAAGACCAGAAGACAGAGCGGAAGACAGCAGCGATGACAATGAATGATGAAGAAAAGCCTCGCTCCAAGTCCAGAATCTGGAAACAAAATCTATCACTGTGGCCATGGAGCAACTTCACATCCATTTGGTTACCCGGGCAGCAATCTTGCTGTCCTCAACCAGAGACGCTGCTTCTCATGGGGGCAAAGACAGAGCTCTCTGCTGTCACTTCACTTCAGTGCTCTCTCTCAGACCAGGCTGTCAAGCATCCAGAAAACCTCTGCTTCGTTTGCCCAGATATTTGTTGGACTCCAACAGCAGGTGAACATGTGAAATTTCTTCCTGTTGCACCTGAAGACACCCAAGGAGTGACAGGGCCCTGGACATGTGGAGGGCAGAGGAGCTAAAGGAGCTGGGCAAGTGAGAGCATGTCTAGGTCAGAGTTTCTCAACGGTGGGGAATGATGAGATCCTGTGGACGGTGCCTTGCTGCCCCCACTGCCAGGTGGCACCCTCACAGGATCTGAACAACTCCAGGAGAAACACCTGACCCCACTATGATTTGGAGGCGCAGCCTTTGGAGGTGGGGTCATGTGCGCTAACATTGCACCATCGGATCACAAACAACGGTTTTCTTGTTCCCCGTGGTTCTCCAGACCTCTCTGGAAGCGTGTGTCCTCTTTCCTGCCCAGAGGGATTTTTGTTCCCTCCCAACTCCCACAAAGCCTGGTTGGCCCTTAAAGGCGATTTCAGGGTACGTGGGTTTCTTCTGACAGCCTCTGTTCTTCTGCAAAATTAGTCTTCTTCAATGGAGTGAATGAGGAAGCAATCTTTACTGCAAGTCTCCAATCATGAATACTTTTAGCAAATCTTGGAGTATTGCTAGCCAATACAGAATCACATACACAAATACACATACGTGCATTTCATACGTGTGTAGACTTCATGATCTAAGTAGAAATAAGCAGTCTTACAAAGTAAAATCTTTACATCTTCAAAAATCGAAAAATTCTAGAGCCGCCCAGCTTGTTGGGGACGTGTTACTCAGATTTGGAGACAGGCAAGGATTTCTTAGGGCGATATCTTACATTGGAACAACTTCACAGCTGAGACAGAGGGAAACCACCTTTTGAGTCTTTAGACAGTCTTCCTTAGATCAAGAATATCCTGCATTGGAAAGCTTCTCTAACTCTATCCCAACTATGCAGCTGGTGTAGTGAGATAGAGCACCCTGAGAGATCCTTGCCTCCCACATCATCTCTGTACCGTCATGGCTACATCACTCTTAATGAAATCTGTAGACTAAGTACTAAGAGGCATTAGATCTTCACTTCAGTTTGCAGGTGGGAACCTCAACAAAGGACACCAGAGGGTGTCATATCACAGGGAATGGATCCCTTTTCCATCCCACTCCTTTTATCCTCCTTTCATCCGAACCCTTTGGGTTGTGACAATTACCAGACAGACCTTTGACAATCTTGGGGAGAAAGGGGAAGATCTTGCATCATCCTGTTGGTTGAGATAGAGGATGGTAACCTGAACACTTAATTAACATTTCATGTCCTAACACTGGCTCCTCTTTTTAAGATACCTCTTTTACCCCGACTCAGTTTCTATTCTACTTCCCTTTGCCTCATTTGCTAATATGGCCTAACTTACACATAACACAGCTAAAAGCTGACAAGAGCTGGTATACTGCAGCTGACAGGATTGTGGCTGAAGAGAAAGGTCTTTGCCCTCACACCCTATTCATCAGCCTTGTCTTTCCCCTCCCTGCCTTCAATGCAAACAGGCAGAGCCTCTTCCCACCCCACACCATGGAGGGACACCACGAGCCGAGCAGCCACAGCCCTGATCGCTGCCTGCACTCCCATCCCAAGGAGGCAGGTGATGACATGTGCTTGCAGCGCCCACCACAGCCTTCCTCTC